GCTACTCTCAGATCTCAAGAGGAGGGGGCACACCATGCCACACAGGGCCACATGGGGACGCAACAGAGTTGGTCAGGAGGCAGAAGGGGTGAGGGAAGAACGTGGGTAAGAGCCTGTACTCTGTATTCTGTGAGAGGGAGTGGGTGAGGCAGCACGTGCAGGCTCAGGCCTGGCTGGTTCGCATGATTTCAGCAGGCTCTGGGGTATAGGGGCCGTCCCTCAGTTGTCTAGTCTCTGGTTCTGGGATGATCAGGGCAGGGGACATCCATGATGTGAGTGAGTGAGGACATCCTATGAGTGAGATCCATAAAGGAGGGCACTCAGGCGTGGGCTCTGGACCCGCTGGTTTGCATATGGGAGGCGCACTCATGAGACAATTACTATCTCTAGGAATCTGCTAGCCCTGGGAGGGGCAGTCCTTCTATCATCAAGTGGGCCCTGGCTATCAAAACATCATAAAAAAGACATGCTTGGAGCACAGAGGATTTTTAGGGCAGTGAAATACTCTGTATGGTACCATAAAGATGGATGCGTGTTTGTTGAAACGTACTAACAGATCAGGAGACGATGGCCATTAATGGTACTGTAGAATGTACAGTACCAGGTGTGGACCGTGAGGTAAACTATGGACTTTGGATGATAGTGATTTGTCAGTCAGGTTCACTGATAGTAACGAATGCACTGTCCAGGGTGGGATATTGATAACGACAGCTGTCCATATGTGGGGCAAAGGGTATGGTGTGAAATCCCTGTATCTTCCCCTCAGCGTCACTGGAAGAATTAAACTGCTCTAAAAAAATAATAATAAGTCTTAATACAAAAACAAAACTGAAAAGAATCAGTGTAAAATTATGAACTGACAGGCATCTGGGGCGAGAACTGGCCAGCCCACCAGGTTAGACACTAGCTGCCACGTGTGGCTAATGGGCTGCAAAATGTACAATCAAGATTTACTATGCCAAAAAGGGTCGGGGCATCTGATTAACTGTTCTTATTTGATCATAATGGATCATGTTAACATGTGGAAATGATAATATTGTTATAGATAGGGTTATATAAAATAGAATATTAAAAACTGTTTTAAAGACATGCTTTTTTTTAAAAAAAGTTATTTATTTGACAGAGAGGAATAGCAAGGGGGAGAGGCAGAGGGAGGAGCAGACTCCCCTGCTGAGCAGGGATCCCCAACTGGGGCTCGATCCCAGGATCCCTGAGATCATGACCAAGCTGAAGGCAACTGCTTAACGGACTGAGCCACCCAGGTGCCCCAAGACGTGCTTAATCCAGCCCCCGATCAGTACATGCAGAATGAAGGGGTCAGAGCTGAGCTTGGAATCCGGCCCTGCTTACTTGGGGAGATGACTTAGCCTCTCTGAGCTGTAGTTGGTTGTGTTTTCCTTGTAAAATGGGGATGAATATTCATCCTATAGGGCGGTTGTCATCTCAGGCCAGTCTCTTTGGAGGAACCCAGCCCATCCCCAGTGTTTTCCTGTCACACCAGGATTTGTAGCAGTGTTCCTAATCTCAGGGTATCTTGCTTCATATTTGCAGCTTGTCTTGTCTCTTGTACCCTGGGACCATCTGTCTCCTTCACTGCTTTTCCCTGGCTCCCAGCCCAGTGCCTGGCATACAGTAGGCACTTGCTAAGTGTTTCCTGAATGAATAAGATAACAAATGGCCCCCAACAGATGTTCAGTGAGGATCTGTGACATCACTGTCATCTTTCATGGCTGGGACATATCTGCTTACTCACTGCTATCACCCCGGGGCCTAGCAAATGGCTGGCATGGAAGAGGCACCCAGAAAATCTGTGTGGAAGAGGTGAATGGAGTTCAGCAGCTTCACAGAGGGTCTCCTGGAGAGCCCTGTGGGTCTCTCTCCTCAGAGCCCACCACCCTTTCCATACCCTCTGCCTCAAGCCCAGCCTGACAGGCTCGGCAATAGGCCACATTCCTAGCTGGGGCAGTCCAGCTGGCCTGTCCCCCACACGTCCAGTAGGAGCAGGAGGAGCACCAGGACAGAGGCCAAGGCTGCCCACAATCAGGCTGCCCACAATCAGGCTGCCCTCTAGAGGGCCTGGCCCCCATCTGGATAGTCACTGCAGCTACCCCATGGAACACAGAGACCCCTGGTCAGCCTGAGAGGGGAAGCCCCTCAAAGCCAGCTTTCCAGGAGGCAGCAGGGTCAACCACATCAGGAATACAGCAAAAGGGATCACACAGGGACAGTCTATAAATTAAGTCCCTGAAGGCCGGCCAGAGGCTTGCAAGACATCATGGAAAAACCCCTTTCCTCCCTCCAGTTGTCTGGTAACTACTGTGCATCTGGGCCAGAGGGAGAGGCCACTAGGCACAGCAGGAGTCCAGGCCTAGCACAACCACAAGGTGTGGGGTAGTGGGGAGGTGAGGGGGAGAGGGCCCCTGGCTGCTGCTTTTAGAGGCCACCTGAGCAGGGACCTGGAGGCACAAGAGGTTCAGGAGAGCTGTAGGCAGCACAGGGATCTAATACGCGACAGCAATTGCAGGAGGACCCTGCAGCTGGTGGCACTTCGCCAGTGCCCCTGTGCCTTTCTGATGACTCTCAGAGCTTCCCTGACCCTCTGTCTCCTCCTCTGTGAAGCGGGCCAACACTGGACACCTGGGAGGGTTCTCCAGCAGGGAAATGGGAGTCAGCCTCCAGAGGGCCTCACTCGGTTCCCCACCACAGAGCCCATCCTCCCCCACCCGGTTCTGCCTGGACCACCTGTGTGCACTCACTGGCGGTTCCCTCCCGAGGAGGACTCCCCCAGAGCTGAGCTGGGCTCACGGAAGGAAGGCTTTCGCGGGCCCTTCCAACCTGCAGGCCCTGGCAGGTGGTCAGTCCCTCAGCTTGGCTCAGCTGCAGGCTGGAGACCACCCCCAACGGCCCTCGCGGTCGGGGCTGGGGACCGGGAGGCAGGAGGAGGCTTCGGGCCACCGCACCCCAGCGCGCCCCAGCTGCGCTCGCGTCACACCTGTAGGAGTCCACCCTGAGCGCCTCCAGCAGCTGGAGGAACAGAGGGGCGCCCTCCTTCCCGGTTCAGCCCCGATCGTGAGGAACTGGCCGTCACACGCGGCAGCTGCGGTCGTCAGGACCCAGGGCCTGAGCGTCCCGTCCGCCTCCCTGACACCTGCGCCGGCCCCAAGACGGCGCCACCTGTCCGCCCGCGCCCCGCCAGGTCTGGGTCACGCCACGTCTGGGCGGCTGCGGGCAGGCCGGGGCAGTGGGCCGGAGCGGAGAGGCCGCCGGGCCCGCCACGCCGCGTCCCCACGCCCGCAGCCACGCGGAGCCGCGTCCCGCCCCGCCGCCCCCACCGGGAGCAAGAGGTCGAGGGACTGGGGTCGCGCGGAGGCTACGGGGGACGGCCACGGGACCGCGGGGCGCGGGGAGGGGCGGGGCCAGCAAGCCCCGCCCCTGCTTAGCCCCGCCCCGCGCTAAGACCCCGCCCCCAGAGCCTCGCGATTCCGCGCAGGGGAGCGGGCCAGGGATATCCCAAGTGGTCTAGGTACGGATGCAAGCGATAAAAAGTCACAAGTTCAAAGCCGTCAGCTGTGAGGTCTCTGCGGAGCCCCCTTCCTGCCGCGACAGCCCACTCCCACCCGTGGCGCCCCTGGCTCCGTGAGCCACGCAGACCCTGGGGAAGGAAAAACGTGCCTGCTGGATGGGTCCGGCTTTGCTTGCGCCGCCGTGGTTACCCGGGGCGAGCATTTCTTTGTTGTGGTGGTTGTTAGCATTTTTCTCAAGAGAATATTGGAGAAAATTCACGTACCTTGCACTGCACCCCTTGGAAGTCTAAGGTTGTGCCCCCCCCCCCCCGCCTGGCTGGCTCAGTGGGTGGGGCCTGGGACTCTGGGTCTCAGGGTTGCAGATTCAAGCTCCATGCTGGTGGGTTCCTGGCTGGCTCAGTCAGTGAAGCGTCAGACCCTCGATTTCAGCTCAGGTCATGATCTCAGAGTCTTGAAATCAGCCCCACTTGGGGCTCTGTGCTCAGTGGGGAGTCTGCTTGAGGATCCTCACTCTCCTTCTGCCCCTTCCGCCACTTGCACTCTCTCTCTCAAATACATATATAAATTTTTTTAAATAAAATATTAAAAAGGCAAGAAGAAAGTGGGTGCCTGGGTGGCCCAATCGGTTAAGTGTCTGCCTTTGGCTCAGGTCATCATCCCAGGGTCCTGGGATCGAGTCCTCCATGTGGTGGGAGTTGTGCTGGGTAAGAAGTCTGCTCCTCCCTTTCCCTCGACCCCTCCCCACTACTCGTGCTCACTCTCTTTCTAAGGAAATAAAATCTTAAAAAAAAAAAAGAAAGGGTAAGGTTTGAGCGTTTACTATATTCGCAGTTACAAACCCCCGTTCTCTCCCCTCCCAGCCCATGGCAGCGGCTGATTTTATTTTCTGTTTCTGTGGATTTGCTGGTTCTCAAAACCAGGGCATTTCTGTAGAGCTGTAAGGCTCCCCATTGTGCAAGGCAAAGGGTCTGGGCAGCCTGGGGCCTTTGGTGCAAAGCCGATGTAGGCCCTGGTGTGCAGCAGGAGAGGGAGTGAAGGAAGGTGAGAGGGTGCTCTGCGGAGAAAGCAGGGGCGCTGAGAGGACTGGATCAGGGAAGAAGTCAAGGGGAGGGGGTCCTCCGGGAGCCAGCCTTCAAGTGGCCTGGGTTGGCTGGGTCTGTCTGTGTGGTTCTGCCTCTAATAACCGAGGGAGCCAACCCTTGTCTACATCCAAGCACTGGAGAAGAGAGCCAGTGTTTCCTGCTAGCTCTTTGAAGTAAGTCCCCTTGTCCCCAGGTGCCTACAACTCCCTCCAGGTGTACCTTGACATCTGAGAGAGGAGCTAGAAAGAGAAAAACGGGAAAAGCCCAAAGCAAAGGAGGTGGGAGGAGGGAAGGGGGAGGGTGGACGAGGGAGGGTGGAGGAGAGCAGGAGGCCACAGGGTGGGGCCCCATCTATAAAGGTTGTGAAGCCTGTTGCCCTGCTGGGCTGGAGAGCTTGGATATCCCCAGCAGGCACAGCTCCTGAGACCCCAAGAGGCTTTGGTGAGTCCTCCCTCGATCTTGGCTTGAGACGAGCCATGTGCCCCACCAGCATGACTTGACCCTATTCTGTGCTGCCCATCTCCTTTGCAGCGGGCCCTGGGGTTGGACTTGAGGCAGTGGGGGTATCCCCACTGCCTGCTGCTGTCCATCTGGGGTCCTCATCACCCCTACCTCTCCCATTATTCCTCAAGACACCCGCAGAGGAGGATCAGTCTGCGCTATGAACTTGTGGCTCCTGGTTTGCCTGGTGGCCAGCCTCATGGGTGCCTGGTCTACTGTCCACACTCAAGGTAACGTCTTGAGCCATACCTACCCTGCCTCCCCGGAGCCCTCCTCTCCCCATCCATCCTTCCTGCCCTCCTCCATTTGCCCTTCCTTTCCTCCAGAAGCCTCCCCCATTCCGTCTCCACTACTGAATTCTGGCGGACAACACCCTACCCTCCCCCCCCAGGGATGTAGAACCTCCTGGCATTTGTGCAGCTCCCTGGGGATGCAGACTCCCCCCCAGTCCTTTCTTCCAGAGACCCTGTGATGTCTCTTTTACTGTCCGTGACCCAAGGCCTCCCTGCCGGGACTTAGCCCAACCAGGGACTGTGGGGAGCAGAGACAGCTCCCAGAGGTGGCATAGCCGGGTACGGCCAGGGACACACTGCAGTGATGTGACCCAACAGGAGTAAGTCCCCCTCCACCCCCATAGACTACCCTGTGGTCTGGCTGAGAGTTACTACTCAGTCTTTATGAGCCCCGGTTTCCCCATCTACAAAGTGGGGATCTGAATTCCCGCTGCAGAGACAGGACATGAAAATCCAATGGGCTGATATTTGCAAAACTCTTGGCCTAGGGCCCAGCAACAGCAACGATAACCATTACTGTTATTAACAGGGAGTCTCTTCTCGCTTCTCCCTCTATTGGGCATATGAGGATTTGGTGACCAAAGGCCAGTTCTGGGTGTCTATCAAGAGCCCTGCCACTGTGTCCTATGTGCCTAGGATGTAGGACAGGGTCCCAGGGGAGGCAGCTGAGCCCCAGCACTGGCTGAGCAGGGTCCCTGGCTTGGTCAAAGCCCCATAGCCCACCCCACCCCCACCTGCCTTGCCTGCCCCACCTGCCCCTCACCAGGTCTGAGAGCCCTAGCCCTGCTTCCAGCTAACCTTACCTTTGCCCAGGATAGGGCTGGGCTTTTTTCCCATTGTCCTGCTATCAGAGACCCATCCCAGGAGCCAGGCCCAGCCCGGGGCCCTTTGATCCTGGGGGCAGAGTGGCCCCCTGGCCTGCCTGGTACTGCAGCCCAGGGTCCCTCTGACACCACTGCCCCTTGCCCTCTGGGGCCAGGGCTTTGAGATGCAGGGGAGTGCTCAAGCCCTTCTGCTCCCCCATCCTTGCCAGAGCTCAGGGGTCAGCAGAGGGATGGGTCTCAGAGAGCCCTGAAGGCCTCTGCACCACCTGCCACTTCAGGTTCACTTGCTTACCCTGCCGGGGGGACCCTGCTGACACCAGCAGCTCCTCCTCCAAGCATACCCCGCTCTAGGTCCCTGCTCTTCCCCCTCCCAGCACAGATCGACCTCTGTGCTGGGAGATCCCCATGACAGCCCTGGGTCCAATTCCCCTCTGAGTCTGTCTACACATCTAGCACCCAGCAGGAACTCAAAATGCTTTCTTCGGCCAACGCCTAAAGGAACAGAGACCTCCTGGTTTCTGGCCTGGTGACTGAGTGGTCACTCTGATGGGGAAGAGAGGCAGAGGCAGATGATTCATTTTAGAAGGGCCTGGGTGGGGAGTGCTGGCCCCTGGCCCCCCCCCTCAGGGGGTTACATCTATGCTCCTTGCCCTAGAACAGGAGTGGGAGTGGCTTTGGCCCCTCATTCATTTTGTGGTCCTGGGCCCTTCCCAGCCCATGGACCCCCTCCAACTCCTGCCAGCTGCCCCCCTATCAGGGGCCAAAGGTGAGCCGAGTTGGCCTCCTTATCAGCTGGGCTGTCTCTCGGCCTCCGCTGGGCCTGGGAGGGCTGTGGTAGGTCTGCGGGTGCCTGCGTCTGTGGCCGTCCTCGCGGAGCACACGTGCACGTGCACGCGAGACACGAGCCCATGGGTCGTGCTTGCAGGTGTCTCCGAGGACTGCTGCTTAGCCTACCACCACCGTGCTAGGCCCCGCCTGCTCATGCGTGCCCAGGGCTACCAGCGCCAGGAAGTGAGCGGGAGCTGCAATCTGCCTGCTGTGATGTGAGTACGACTGTGGGAGCCCGTGTGGAGGGGGTGGGGTTGGGGTGTGTGTCTCGTCCACGACTTTGCTCCCTGCTCCCACCCTAACCTGGGAACCCTCTCGCCCCCTCCCCCCACAGATTCTTCTTCCCGAAAAACAAGATGCTGTGTGTGAACCCAAGAGTCAACTGGTTGCCAAATGTGTTTAAGTTTCTGGATAATCGGAACAACACCCACTCAAAGCAGCACCTAGGCTCCCGGAGAAACTTCCAAGGTGGGTGAGACCCACGCCCAGCATCTAAGAGGCCAACCCCTCCCTGCTGTGGGCTCCTGGGCTTCTCAACCCCCAAGGAGGGGACTGCAGTCCAGCGTGCCGACAGCTGCCTCCACCCCAAAGGGGACCAATGGCTGGTGAGTGGAGACTGAGTGCATGACCGACTTTTTTAGCCAAGACTTTTTCTTAATCGTTAGAGATGGCAAACTCAAGCAAATGGGAAACTCATCGGCTCAAGTAACCAGCCAGCGGCTTCAGGCTTGGGTGGATCCAGGTGCTCAAAGGGTATGGGTAGAGCTCTCATCTATTTCTTTCTCTCTTGGACAGACTCCCATCTGGGAGGTAGGAGGTCGAACACTGGAATGTCCAGGCTAGCACACTCCAAGTCCAAGTCCAGCAGGTCCACCAGAAGCAACAAGAAGAAAACTTCCTTCCTGAACATGGCTAATCCAGGTAAGGACTCTGATCATCCCTGCTGAGGAATGAGAGCTTCCGATCAGCACAGACTGGGTGAGCACCTGGACTCCCTTCCAGGACCAAGGAGGTTGGGTCTGGGGTCAGCCCTGCAGGCCGACACTTGGGTGGCTGTTCACTACCCTAACCCAGCTTCACTGCAATCCCGGTCACCTGCCGGCCTCTCCAATCCCCCCTGCAGGACCTTGAGCCCGTGCATCTTCAGGATTAGCCCCGCATGAGATGGACCTTGAGCCCGTGCATCTTCAGGATTAGCCCCGCATGAGATGGGCTGGACCTTTCTCTCTCTACCGCATCTGTCCCCTGGGGCTCCGGGTACCCCAGCCTCCCTGTCATTCGGGCCAGATCTCCGTGGCCTGTGCCTGAGCCTACAGCTGGCTCCCCCTGCTGTCACCCCTGGCACATCCTGCTCCTTGGGCAGCTGGAAGGAAGGAGCTGACCTTACTTACCTCAAGCCTGCTCCAGGAACCAGTCAGCACAGGGCAATGGGGTCTTGCCGTGGATCATCGGCAATACGTGGCCCACCTGTAGCCCCTTGCCACCCACCCTGGGCCACGCCTGCCTATGTTCCTCTGGGTCCTTGCAGAGCACCAGTCCGTCCAGGGTTGCTCCTCCCAGGCCGTGATTTTCTATGGTTTTTAAATAAATATTTGGTGTGATGCCACTCCTGTCTGTCGCGTCTCATTATGGGGTGTGAGGTGCTGCCCCAGTCTGTGTTGAACCCCGCGGGACCATCCCACCCCTGGACCTGAGCTGGCAGTCCTCACAGCTAATGGCTCCTGGGGGACATGCTGGCTGCAGGCCCAGGTGCAAGTCCAGCTGGTGACCCTGAGCAAACTGCTTACTCTTCTTGTCGCCTCTTTCCTCGCCTCTAAACCAGGGGTCCCTGAGCTTGTTCTGCTCAGATCCCTGGGCTATATATAGTGAGACTGGCTGCTGCAGAGTAGCCCTCTGCAAGCTCCTGACGGGAGTCCAGAAAAGCTCCTGTTAAGTCAAGTGGATCAGAACTGGGCTGAGAATAGAGCCCCGGCACCAGACTCTAGTGACCAGTCTGCAGGGGGAGACAGGGCCACACTTCAGGGGCCAGGTCACTGTCCTGTCCTCAGGCAGCCTGTCTCTGCCACGAGAGAACATTCCAGATGAAAACCAAATGCTCCATCTCTAAAGGACAAGTGGCGGTCTGGGGTCACTGGGTCACACCTGCGCCCGACTAGGCTCTGTAGACGACTTGGGCTGATTCTACAAACTCTCTAAGCCTTGCTTCCACCCCCTGTGAAATGGGTGACATCACTGCTTTTCTCACACAAGTTATTGGGGACTAAGTACACTAGTATCAGGGTGCACCTGGCTGGGTCTGTAGAGCATGTGACCCTTGACATCCGGGTTGTAAGTTCCAGCCCCACGCTGGGTATAGAGATTATTTAAAAAATTAACTAATTATTATTATTTTTTAAGTACTACTGTCTGTGCCACGCACAGCATGCGCATGCGTGGACCACACATCAACGGTTTCCTGGCATTGAGCTGGGCCGCCAGGTCAGGTAGATGCAGCCCAGCCTGGAACCGGGCAGGATGGCCCGGCCGGGGGACAGCAGCGAGGCTGGCACAGCTGCCCTATTTTGAACCCCGGCTCTGCTACCTGCAAGCTGTAGTCCCCTTGGCCAGCTTGCTTAACCTCTGCGAGCCGGTTCTCCAGTCTATAAAGTGGGGATGAGCATACCAGCCCCTATTCCCCACAGTTGCGATGACAACTAAACCAGTTCGGCAGGAACGGTGACCTGGCACGTCGTGTGTGGTCAGGCAGCAAGAGCCGAGAGCCATTGTCGTTGTTGTCAGTACTAGCAGACCCACGAGGCTTGCGGTGGTGGCCACCCACAGCCTGGCTCTGTGCCACTCACGGGTGGGAAGTCCGCAGAACCCGCCTGCACCCTGGGACCGTGTCCCCCACCCCCTCAGGTGGAAGGTGACCTTCACCTGTGTCTTACCTGCCTGCTTTCTCCTCAGAGCCCCGGGCTGAAGTCCAGCCTTCCAAAGCTCCCACCCCTGAGGCCTCTTGCTCTCTGACCCAGGGGCCCAACCTGGCCCTGCTGAAGGCAGCATCTCCTGACTTCCAGAACACGCCAAAGAGGCCGACGTAACCCAAAATAACTTTATTGTCGTCTCTGCTTCTGATATAAAAGCACCCCGGCATCCTAGCCCACCTGACCAGGGGCCTGGGGAATGACTGTGTGGCACCAACCCCAGCCGGGGCTCCACGGGCTCTTTTGGCTCAGAGGGTCCAGCCCCAGGCCCACCCAGCCGCCCGTTCCTGGGGCCCACTGGCCCCTGGGGGAGAGCCACGGCGCAGTGCAGAAGTGAACGCCTGAGATTGACCAGATTTAGGGAATCGCAGGCCCCTCCTTGCCCCTGGTTGGCGGGGGAAGGTGCATGCTGCAGCTTCCGGCGGTCTCCAGGGAAGACTGAAGTTTGGGGTCCCCCTGGGCAGTGGCTGGGTTTGCCTGAGGTTGCAGAATCGTGTTACTCTTCCTGAGTTTTGGGGTTCCACCTGGTCAGCGATCCCATTGCCGGTGGGATCAGTCCCTCCACTCCAGAATCTGGCACTCTGAAGAGGAGGAGGAGTAGGGGCCCTGGGGCACACCTCCACACCAGATGTGCAGTGAGCGGAGTGACCTCAGTTTCCCCAAAATCCCGCCGGAAGAGGCAAGGATGGGGCAGTGCCTGAGCAGGGGTCCAGAGAGGGGCTGCGGGAGGGGCCTGGGTCCAGCGGCGGGTGCGGGCTCCTTTCAGCTACAGCAGCTGCAGCTGTACCTTTAGCCGCAAGGCCCCACCGCTGGGCACCCGCTGCCCCTCCGGCCAGGTGCCCCAAGGCCCTGCCACGCTCACCACCTCCAGCCGGTAGGTTCCAGGCCCGGGCCTGCGACGCCCCAGCTGCAGGGAGCTGAGGCCCTGGAGGTGATGCATGCGGAAGAAACCTGGCCCATTGCCGCGGGCGATGACATAGTGGACCCGTCCCCCCAGGCTCTCCAGTGCTGGCCGCAGCTCCAGGATGTGTTCAGCAGGGCTCAGGCGGGAGAGGTTCAGGCCCAAGGTCAGCGGGGCCTCGGAGTCAAGGCTGGCCAGGCTCACCTGTGGGCAAAGACCAGACAGGTGATGGTCACGCGGGGAGGATGGGAATGCAGTGGGTAGGGGCCACAGGGTCACGGCCAAGGGGAGATTTCAGCCAGTCTCTCAAGTGGACAATCTGGAACCCTCTCTGCCCTGACTTCTGTCTAGGCCTCCATCTGCAAGGCCGAGCCTCAGCTTGGGCCACAGACAGAGGCATGAGGATGGCGGAGGCTGGTCCCCCAGTGGAAAGCAAAGATGGGCAGGTAGATGCTCAGGCCTACACAGTGAGAGAGGCACGAGACCAGAGTTGCTGCTCGATAGCTTTCCGGTTCCCGGGGTGGGGGAGGGGGTGGGTTACTACGCTTCCTGCATCTGGGCTCTTTGAGAGCACCCTGTGTGTAGATGACAAACCCCTCTTTATGCGAGCGGCTCTGAGTGTGCTCCTGGTCCTGGCAGCCAGACAGGGCCCTGAATAAGCCAATAGCCTCAATGGCAGGCTGACGCGGGCTGGGTGACAGGCTGGGTGACGTAGCCAGTCCTACAGGAGGTGATCTGTTTTGTCCTCGGCTCTGGGCAGGGCTGGGTTTGTTCCCTGCCTCATTTACATGGTGAGGAGTGCTTGGTGGTTGGGCTCCTGTGAAAGCTCTTCCTCTTACCCTGCCCCTGGGTTCTGGGGCCTAGGCCCTGGCCCCAGGGAGTGTTGCTCAGACGTGTGCTCTTGCTGACACCTGCTGGCAGTTAGTGGGTATTGCAGGCAAAGCCCCAGGGCCAGCCTACCTCAGCCCAGATTCGCTGGGGGGGGGGGGCGCCCATCCCAGGAGCCCCCACAACCACTGCATTCACTCACTACAGACACAGCTTACAGAAAACAGTGGTAACGATGGGGTTACAGATACGGCCACTCTTTTCCAGGAAAAGGGAAAAAAAGCAAAAGTAATAAGGAAAAGAAGGCAAAGTAATAGACTCATATTTCATTAATAATGAGAGCCCCTCAGACCCACCATTCCTATCTTACTCCTGCCTTCATTCTGCCCCACCTGGTGGTCACCGTGGGTGCTGCGACGTGGCCGGTCACGAGCAGGGAGGCCATTGATCTTGCATTCATAGCAGGCTTTGGACGAGAGCAGTTCTTCCTCGTCCGGGGTCTCCTGGGGTCCGGGGCTGAAGCCCAAGCCAGAGACACAGTGCCTGGGCCAGGACAAGGGGGTGGTGGGTCTTCAGGGGCAGGCTGGTGGGGTCTCCCCAGCCACCCTCTCCGACCCCCACTCTCCGTTCAGAGCCACACTGCTTGTGGGGACGGGTACTGGCGTGTAAATGAGCAGGTGTGCCTTTGCATGCACCGACACAAGAGATGTGTGTATATGTGCTTGAACCCCTTAGCTTAGTGGGCACAGATGTGAACCTGCAGGCACCCCAGAACGCGGATGCATGCACACTGAGAGTGCCTAAGGGTGCCCAGGTGTGTTGGCATAGGTGTGAGTCGTGCATGTGCTCAAGGGTATTGCAGAGAAGTGTGCATCTACCACTGTGCACCTGCAAGTATACAGGAATACCATGAAGGCCATCACCCCAAATTGGGGTGTGAGCCTGAGTGTGCAACGATACAAGTGCTGTGAGGCTCTGTGCTCAGGTCTCTGGGCACATGTGTGTAAATGCATGAGTACATGGGTTCACGTGTGTGTGTGCATGCTCTCGCAGGGTTTGGGAACCCGTGGCCGCCCTGCTCAAGCCCCTTACCCTTGCCCAGCCCGGAAGTAGCCTTGGGGGCAGCCGCACAGGAAGCCGCCAGGGGTGTTGGCGCAGCCGTAGCTACAGGGGCCACCCCGTGCGGCACACTCGTCTACATCCTGGCAGCCCCCCAGGGCCTGGTCAAAGTCAAAGCCAGAGGGGCAGACGCAGCGGAAGCCACCCAGCGTGTTGTGGCAGGAGGCGCTGCCGCAGGCCGCAGGTGAAAGCACACACTCATTTTCGTCTGTTGAGTGGGAGAGAGCCACAGAGAGAAAATGTGGGGCGCAGGAGGGCGGCCTTTGCACCCCCAGAGCCCCTTCCCGCAGCTCAGTCCGCGCTCAGTTAACTCCGGCTCCTCCTTCAGAGCCCTGGGTCATCGTCAACCTCCATCAGGCTCTCCACCGGCCTGGGGGTGTCTAGGGCGGACTAGGTTGGCCTCTCTCCCTACACTCCTTGGCTCCCCCAGCCTTATAGTTGTCCT